CAGCACTCTGGGAGGCCAAGGCGGGCGGATCGCCTGAGGTCAGGAGCCTGACGAACATGGTGAAACCCCATCTCTACTAAAAACACAAAAATTATCCAGCCATGGTGGCAAGTGTCTGTAGTCCCAGCTACTATGGAGGCTGAGGCAGGAGAATCTCTTGAACCCAGGAGGTGGAGGTTGCAGTGAGTCGAGATCACGCCACTGCACTCCAGCCTGGGTGACACAGCGAGACTCCATCTCAAAAAAAAAAAGAAAAAAGATTAATAAATAAATATTGTTTTGTTTGGTCATAATTATAACTTATTAAAACTTCCACTTTCGGTCAGCTCAACCCATTCTACCTTTTCTTTGTTCTTCACTTACAAGTTAATAAAAAACAAAATGCAGTTTCTGGCATGCATAAAATCTGAAAATAGAGCAAGTAGACAGTTGGAAACTCTTTTCTTTCAAAAAGGTTAATGTGAAAATTAAGTGTTTCTCAGCCTCTTCTAGCTGGGTTTTTTTTTTTTTTTTTTCCTTCAGTTTTTTTTTTAAGGGGAAGCTGTTTCATTGAAGACAACATCCAGAACAGAGTTTTTTAAATCTGGAGATAAGATGGAATCGAGCAGGAATCTTTGAACCTCCTCAGATGGATGCAAAATATTTTAGCCTTGTTTCCCATGGAAACTATTCATGTTTCATCACTTTCAAGATCTTAAAAAAAAAAAAAAAAAAAAAAAGTTTAAGAATTCAGTTGCGTGGAGGTCTTTTTAAGTTAAATTTTTAAAAATTGCTTTGGGGATTTATGACTTCTATGTGTTTGGAACAATTAAACTCCTCATAGAGGGCTTTGGTTGCCTTTATACTGGTCCCCAGCTTTCCAAAAGAAGGTGGGCTTCGATATACTTGATACAAAAGTGCCCTTGATGCAATTCTTCGAAACAGTGATTGCTGAGCTAATTATTCCAGCCATAACATGCTTGCTGGCCCGCAGCTTCCTCATCTGGCCAACGGGAATATAGATACCAGCCACTCTGGGGATTGCTATGAGAGAACAAAAATGAGATTGCATACATGTGCACACTTCCATAGGTGACACCTAGCAGAGGGTGGCAGATGACACAGGTAATGGCCCACCTCACATGGTGCCCACTTTCTTAGTGACTAATCTGGCTGTCGGGGTTTCCCTCCCATAGAGCTTTTGCAGGAGCCACTGTCCATGACTTCTTCAACTGGCTCTCCGTGTTGGTGCTGTTGCCTGTGGAGGTGGCCACCCATTACCTTGAGATTGTAACCCAGTTTATAGTGGAGAGCTTCCACTTCAAGAATGGAGAAGATGCACCAGATCTTCTGAAAGTCATCACTAAGCCCTTCACAAAGCTCATTGTCCAGGTAACTTGGCTCCTTCAGAGAGAGAAAGGGACAGATTTCCTATCCACCACATCCCCTACCTGAGCTGACAGATATAGAGTGTCTACAACACTATTCTGGTCCTGGCACAGTGGCTCACCCTTGTTTTCCCAGCCCTTTGGGAGGCCGAGGCGGGTAGATTGCTTGAGGTCAGGAATCCAAGACCAGCCTGGCCAACATGGCATAACCCCGTCTCTACTAAAATACAAAACATTAGCTGGGCATGGTGGCGTGCACCTGTAGTCTCAGCTAGGTGGGGGGCTGAGGCAGGAGGATCGCCTGAACCCTGGGAGGTTGAGGCTGCAGTGAGCTGAGAATTGTGCCATTGCACTCCAGCCTGGGTGACAAAGTGAGACTGTTTTTAAAAAATAAATGGATGAATAAACACTACTCTGTAGCTGCCTCTGGAAAAGGCCAAGGGAGGCAGAACTTTAGGGCCACCTGATAGAGTGACCTTGACAGTTACTTTGACTTGCATGATATGCCACCTTTATTGGGGTGGAGGTGCTTCTTAAGACTGGACACTTGAGACCACTTTGTTCCCACTGCTGTCCTCAATACCAGTGGACTTAATAAAGTATGTTCTACCCTTTCCTGCCTAGAGTCATCTCAGTCCCTTCTCCCTGGGTCCTTGCTAGGACCTTGTGATTTCACTCTTACTGGTTTTCTTGGCCATTCAGTCATCCAGAAACTATCTACTGCCTACCCCCTAGATATCAGTGCCTCTGCAGATAGAGCGAGCCCCACTTTGCCTCTCTGGGGGCTCACAGTGACATTTATCTCCTTAGAGCCCCTCTCACTGCAACCGCCTGGGTTTGTGTCCTAAATCGGTTCTGAGGATGTACTGATGGTCTCCTGTCTACTGTTTCCACAGCTGGATAAAAAAGTTATCAGCCAAATTGCAATGAACGATGAAACCGCGAAAAACAAGAGTCTTGTCAAGATTTGGTGCAAAACTTTTACCAACATGGTACGTTTCCAAGATATTCCCGGGTGGGTGAACCTTTGCATCCCAACATTAAGCCAAATCTTGCCTTCAAGGAATTTAAATAGAAAGTCAGGGGAAAGAAATATTGGGAGCCCCTGAAAAGTCAAAAGTGACCAGTGAATGCCTTTAGAAAACAAGTCCCTGAATGAATGCCGAATGCAGGTAAACAGTAGGACAGACAGACTCCCTTTTGCCCCATCCCAGGGATACATTATTCCTGGTTTGTTATTTCCATGCTTCTTGGACACGACTTAGCTCTCCCTGCCATTCTGTTCTCATTTTTGGAGGGACTTGTGGAAATAGTCCAGCACGCCCTATGGGTGTTGGCAGCAAGTATCGTCTCTCTTACTTTCCAGACTCTTCCAGAGTATTCCCCCTGCTTGGGCCCAGAGCATTCATGCCCTCTGTCAGGAACCTACCCAGCCTGCTTTGCACCTGGGTTGTGGCTTGCCCTTGCTTCTGGGGTGTACGTGTATTTTTTTTTTGTGGGGTGCTAAAGACTGGAGACTAAAATAAACAAACTAGATGTTTTTAAATGGTGAAGGCTGATTTCAGTTGTCCTCAGTTATTCTAAGAGATTCCTAATAAAGGTGACAAATAAGTCTTCGAGAGAAAAGAACTGTTCTGTTGGGACCACACTACATGCACCGTGTGTGGTGTCTGTGCCCGTTCATTCCCACCCCCCCATTGCCTTCCATTCCCCACTAAAAGCCAACGTTGTGGGCATTTGTCATGTTTGTCATCCAGACCCAGATGAATGTCACTGTTCCTTCAATGGCTAACTGCACCTCCCCTTCCCTCTGTTGGACGGATGGCATCCAAACCTGGACCATGAAGAACGTGACCTACAAGGAGAACATCGCCAAATGTGAGTGGAGCTCAGTGGATTGGCCGCTATGACAGGTGTTGTCTGGGGGTGACGTATTTATCTGTGTGAAGTCCCAGTAAGTGAAGACAAGGACAGTAGGAGTCACTAAGCACCTACCCTACATCAAGCAGGAGCCACACGCTTTCACAGCAGAGTAAACTATGGCTTAGGAACTGAGGTGACAGGCCCAAGGTCCCACAGCAAGGGCAAAACTGGAACTTGGAGTCCATTTCCTTTGCCAGCTCCACACCACCTCAGAAAAGCCCAACAGATTCTATAGGGTTTCCTGTACGTGCTTTGTTCAGACTCCTTTAGTCAATAACTCTAGGGGCCAGGCATGGTGTCTCATGACTATAATCCCAGCACTTTGGGGAAGCTAAGGTGGGCTGATCACTTGAGGCCAGGGGTTCGAGACCAGCCTGGCCAACATGGTGAAATGCTGTTTCTACTACAAATAATACAAAAAAATTAGGCAGGCATGGTGGCACAAGTCTATAATTCCAGCTACTTTGGAGACTGAGGCATGAGAATCGTTTGAACCCCAGGAGGCAGAGGTTGCAGTGAGCCAAGATCACACCACTGCCCTCCAGCCTGGGCAACAGGGAGGTAGCTTGTCTCAAAATAGAATAACTTTAGGGAGATGACAACCAGATTTGAAGGAAGATGTGGGACCCACATAGAACAGATATATTCACTCAGTTAGTCCCCACTGTACAGCAGGCCCCATTTCAGGGCACTGGGGCTATAGCACTTGAACAGACAGTGAGCTTGCATGATGCTCTGATTATTAAGAAGCTGTAATGTTTTTTCCAACCCAGCTACCCTTCGTTATTCTAATTACTCCTTACATATACTTTTGTATATCTCTGCTTCTCTCTTCCCACCCTCCCACCACATTAATTTTGAGCAGTATACTTTAATACTCTAGGTATGATTACCCCAAAGAATCAAGTTAACATACCACCTCCCACATTCTAGGCACTATATAATGGTTATATATTAATTCGTATAACCATGTTTTGCTGGAATTATCTAGGGCATGCAGAAGGGGCTTTATAATTAGCAATGCCCCTTACTTTGACTTGCCCATGGAACCCCTCAAAGCATACTTATCATTAGTAAAAAAATTAGACCATCCACAGCATGATCTTTAGAGACAGAACTGGGCTGGGTCTGCCCCTGAGTAGTTGTGTGATTTTTAAAGTCATCACTTGATCTTCCAGCCTCATGCGATCCCACTGGTTATGACATAATCTCTGTGGTGCCCTTTGCTGCAAAGGAGGCTGAGAAGAGCTGTCTTGATTTGGGGCTGCCATATGTCAAACTAACAACCAGGAATCTGTTCGTAGGAAAGATAGGATCTGGGGGAATAAATAACAATCTGTAGCCGTGGTGGCTCCATGCCCTCCTGACAAGGTTCTTCGTGGTCTTTTTAGGCCAGCATATCTTCGTGAATTTCCACCTTCCGGATCTTGCTGTGGGTATCATCTTGCTCATAATCTCCCTGCTGGTCCTCTGTGGTTGCCTGATCATGATTGTCAAGATCCTGGGCTCTGTGCTCAAGGGGCAGGTCGCCACTGTCATCAAGAAGACCATCAACACTGGTAGGTACACTGCCCTCACTTGTGGGCCTTGAGGGATGGTGTCATCATGGCCACTGCATGGGGTGTGAGGGTGCTTTAGATTCCCATCTAGCAATGGCTTCTGCATGGAGTTTCTCTCTCAGATTGGATCAGCAGCAGAAGTGAGGATGTCATTCACGTGGAAATGTTCTTGGTGTCCTGGGTGGGGTCTAGGGAGCACGCCCAAGCTTCCATTGCATGTTGGCAAAGTCCTGAGAAGGAGTTCCTATCTGGAGAACTGTGAATCAGGCCTTCCTTCCTAGTGGGTTTCCTATATGGTCAGTGCTTTACAGGCTCTGTCAAGACCCCTTAGAAAAAGGACCCCAGGTGTCCACCCTCACCCCCACCTCCCTTCACTCTTGTGAAGGAAATGTGATGTGTAAATACATTAGCATCTAGAGGTGGCCAATGAGACTGCTGGCCAAGAGGATTTCCTGCCAAGTAGGGTGTCCTGGCCAATGAGAGCTCACTAAGCCAATGACATCATCACTCCATGACAACTCAGTTAAATATAGCCAAGAAAATTCGCCCCCCACCCCAGGTTGTCTTGGGGGAACAGAGCAACTCTGAATGCTTGTGGGAAAGGCAGGGCCTGATCTGGTGCTGGTTGGGTGGAAGACTCAGTTAGTAGGCATGTTCCAAGCTGCTGCGTTTTCCTGATACTCCTTAAGGCGGACATGAAGGTTGAAGGTCGAATGTGGGTGCTAATGGGAGGCCAGGGCAGGGGAGGAAGCATGCTCTCAGCCCTTTCTGGAAGGAGAGTGCTTACTTGGGTGGGTTCACTCTTTCTAACCTGACCTCCAGGGAGTCTGTGTTTTTGTTTCCATAACACTTACCTGCATCCTTGGTTTTTCCATCTGAATATGTGGAGCAAAAGACAATGGGGAATGAAACTGGATTCTAAAACTCTACTCTGTAATCTGAGACCATATATGGGATGAGGAGGTGCCTGTACAACCTCACCCGTAAGCCCAGCCCCTGCCCCAGGCCACTAGCCCATTCCTTCTCCAGAGAGGCCCTGACATATCTTCCTTCTGTCTTCCAGATTTCCCTTTTCCCTTTGCATGGTTGACTGGCTACCTGGCCATCCTCGTTGGGGCAGGCATGACCTTCATCGTGCAGAGCAGCTCTGTGTTCACGTCGGCCTTGACTCCCCTGATTGGTGAGTTATTCCTGAGCTTCTCCTTCTGGCCACCACTGCCATTTCCTGTCATCCCATGGGGCTGATGTGTTTGTGTTTGTATCCCCCCCAAGGAATCGGAGTGATAACCATTGAGAGGGCTTATCCACTCACGCTGGGCTCCAACATCGGCACCACCACCACCGCCATCCTGGCCGCCTTAGCTAGCCCTGGCAATACATTGAGGAGTTCACTCCAGGTGAGGGCTCGGGGCCCGGGGGCAGGGGCCCTGGGGGTGGGACCACACATGGTCTTGCAAACTGGTCTCTAACAAGAGCTGGGCTTTTCTCTGTGCTGTCCAAAAGATGGAACTGATATGTGGAGGGGAAGCCACGGGTAAAGTTTTCAGGACCTTGATATGAGAACAATCAAAACTATCAGTTCTGAGAGAGGCAGTAAGACTCCCATAACTGGTGGTGGTTTCAGCAGAAGTGGGGTGGCCCCTTGATATAGATGTAGAAAGGGTACTTAAGAAGCACAACCACCACCTCCCATCTCCTCACTGCCTCCTGTGGGGAACTTTACAATTAGGAGAACTCCTTGGTGTGGACCATCTAGGTTACTTTGTGCAAGACCTTTGGGATTTGAATTTATTTTATTTTATTTTTTTGAGACAGTCTCGCACTGTTGCCCAGGCTGGAGTGCAGTGGCGTGATCTCCACTCACTGCAACCTCCGCCTCCCGGATTCAAGTGATTCTCCTGCCTCAGCCTCCCGAGTAGCTGCGATTACTGGCACCTGCCACCACACCTGACTGATTTTTTTGAATTTTTAGTAGAGACGGGGCTTCACTACGTTGGCCAAGCTGGTCTTGAACTCCGGACCTCATGATGCACTTGCCTTGGCCTCCCAAAGAGCTGGGATTACAGGCGTGAGCCACTGCACCCAGCCTGAGATTTGAATTCTTATCTCGCCATTTACATCCCAAATGACCTTTGGCAAGTGATCTAACCTGAGCGTCAATTCCCTCATCTGAAAGATGGAGGATATAACCCCTATCTCATTAGGATTACTATAAAGATCTGATGAGGCAAAGCAATCTATGCAACAGAAATAGAAATTCAAGCATATAATATAAACTAACCACATATGTCATCCTAAAAGATTTTAGCAGATACATTTTTAAAAGTAGAAACAGGCAGATTCATTCTTCAATAATGTGCTTGATTTAAACCATTATCACTTTAACATGTAATCAGTCTGTCAAAAATTGAGATATTTGACATTGTTCTTTTCTGGGACTAAGTCTTTGAAATCTAGTATGTATTTCGTACTTAAAGCAAATCTCCGTGTGGACATGTGGCTAGTGTATTGGACAGTGCTGGTTCATAGCCTGGGCATGGTACTTTGCACCTTGGCAGCCTTGGAAAAGTGACTAAGCGCCTGGCCTCTGGAGCCAGGATCCCAGGATGTGAATTTCCACCTCTTCCATCTCCCACCTGTGGGAGTTGAGGAGCCTCCATTATCTCATGTCAAGAAATAATGATTGCCACTCTGTAGAGTGTTTTTTGAGGATTGAGCTAATGCACAGTTGAGTGCTCCTGGCCCTCCCAGACATGTAGTAGGTCCTCATGGAAACCAGGTACCCTCTGGGCTGAACCGTAAAGACAAGGAAGGCCTGGAAGGCCCGAGACTATGCTACCTGTGATGCCTGCTAGCTTACCTCCCCCGTCCCCTCCTCCCTACTGCCACCCCATTAGGCAACAGGCCCCTCACCTGTCCAACCTCTTGTGTTGCAGATCGCCCTGTGCCACTTTTTCTTCAACATCTCCGGCATCTTACTGTGGTACCCGATCCCGTTCACTCGTCTGCCCATCCGCATGGCCAAGGGGCTGGGCAACATCTCTGCCAAGTATCGCTGGTTCGCCGTCTTCTACCTGATCATCTTCTTCTTCCTGATCCCGCTGACGGTGTTTGGCCTCTCGTTGGCCGGCTGGCCGGTGCTGGTGGGCGTCGGGGTTCCCGTCGTCTTCATCATCATCCTGGTACTGTGCCTCCGACTCCTGCAGTCCCGTTGTCCACGCGTCCTGCCCAAGAAACTCCAGAACTGGAACTTCCTGCCACTGTGCATGCACTCGCTAAAGCCCTGGGATGCCGTCATCTCCAAGTTCACCGGCTGTTTCCAGATGCCCTGCTGCTGCTGCTGCCGAGTGTGCTGCCGCGTGTGCTGCTTGCTGTGTGGCTGCCCCAAGTGCTGCCGCTGCAGCAAGTGCTGCCAGGACTTGGAGGAGGGTCAGGAAGCGCAGGGTGTCCCTGTCAAGGCCCCTGAGACCTTTGATAACATAACCATTAGCAGAGAGGCTCAGGGTGAGGTCCGTGCCCCAGACTCAAAGACCGAATGCACAGCCTTGTAGGGGGAGGCCCAGATCGTCAGAGGTGGGGGGATGGGCCTTGAGTTTTGCATGCTCTCCTCTCTCCCACTTCTGCACCCTGCACCCTTTCACCACCTTGAGGAGATTTGTTCCCCATTAGCGAATGAAACTGGTGCAGTCCTACCTAACTCGATTCCCTTTGGCTTGGTGGATAGGCCTGCAGGGCACTTTCATTCCTGCCCCTGGTCACTCAGTAGTCTTTTACTCCAGGAAGGCACAGGACGGTACCTAAAGAGAATTAGAGAATGCACCTGGCTGGACAGGGGTCTAATCCTGCACCTAGCTGAGTTGGTCAGTAGAACCTGTTTTCAGACTCAAAAACCATCTTCAGAAAGAAAAGGCCCAGGGAAGGAATGTATGAGAGGCTCTCTAAGATAAGGAAGTGTATTCTTCATGACTATCAAGCTCAGGCCTCTCTCTTTTTTTAAACCAAAGTCTGGCAACCAAGAGCAGCAGCTCCATGGCCTCCTTGCCCCAGATCAGCCCGGGTCAGGGGACATAGTGTCATTGTTTGGAAACTGCAGACCACAGGTGTGGGTCTATCCCACTTCCTACTACACCCCACATTCCCAGTCAGAGTTTCCTCACGTGGGCAGGTGTGCTAGTCCAAGCAGTTCACTTGCAGTGTCCTTGTCCTCATGCTTCGGGAATGGGAGCCACACCTGAACTACAGAGAGTTCAGGCTGGATACACGTGCTCACCTGCTGCTCTTGTCTTCCTAAGAGACAGAGAGAGTGGGGCAGATGGAAGAGAAGAAAGTGGGGAATGGGTAGCATAGCATTCAGGGGATATGGTTTATCTGCCAAAAGGGCCTCAGGTTCTTAATTTAGCAGACTAAGATGCCAAATTAAAAAGCATTGTGGCTAAAGCCTAATGCTCCTCTCTTGGTTAGATAACAAAAACCGTCCCTATTGGATCTTTTGAAATAAAACGTGCAAGTTCTCCAGGCTCATAGCCTGCATGCTGCCACCTTGAAACCCAGGGAGTATCTGCGCCTGGAATAGCTCTACCCCCGTTCTCTGCTTCCTCACTTTCTGTGCAAGATGACTTGCAGGGTTTACTTCCTTCTTTCCATGCACCCACCCACTGGAATCTCTTTCCAAACATTTTTCCATTTTTCCATAGATGGGCTTTGATTAGTTGTCCTCTTTCCATGCCTGCAAAACTCCAGATTTTTGGGGAAAGCTGTACCCAACTGAACTGCCCAGTGAACTGGGATCACTGAGTACAGTCTAGCACAGGTATGTCGCCGGGTCAAAGGGGTGTGCTCCTTCTCATCCTAGATGCCTTCTCTGTGCCTTCCACAGCCTCCTGCCTTATTACACGACTGCCCCAGCCCCACCCTCAGCCATTCCAATTCTTCCCGGCCAGTGAGCTCCAGCCTTATCTAGGAAAGGAGGAGTGGGTGTAGCTGTGTGGCAAGACTGGGGCCTCCCCCATCCCAGCTTCTCCACCACCCCAGCAGGTCAGGATATCAGACAGTCCTCCCCTGACCCTCCCCCTTGTAAATACCAATTCCCAACCAGAGCCGAATACTCGATATTTATAGTCACACCCCTGTACAGCATTTTTCATAAGTTATATGGTAAACGGTCTGGATGATTTGTGCTTCTAGTGCTCTAATTTGGAAATGAGGCAGGGTTCTTCTATGAAATGTAAAGAAAGAAACCACTTTGTATATTTTGTAATACCACCTCTGTGGCCATGCCCGCCCCACCCACTCTGTATATACGTAAGTTAAACCCGGGCGGGGGCTGTGGCCATCTTTGTACTCCGGTGATTTTTAAAAATTGAATCTTTGTACTTGCATTGATTGTATAATAATTTTGAGACCAGGTCTCACTGTATTGCTCAGGCTGGTCTCAAACTCCTGAGCTCAAGCAATCCGCCCTCCTCAGCCTTCCAAAGTGCTGAGATGACAGGCGTGAGCCACCACACCAGGCCTGATTGTAATTTTTTTTTTTTTAACTGGTTGTGGGAAGGGATAAATAAAATAATCAAACCCAAAAGGAGTGTGTTGTTTTTAATTACAGGGAAATAGGAACCTCCTTGGATCTATTTTATAAAGAAGTGAGATCTCTTCCCTTACCGAATGTCACTACCCACCACTTACTATCTGACCCTCCGGCTGCATAATTTGTGGAGCCTCTTGTTCAAAAACCTGGTGAAAAGTGTAGTTTTATATTGTGCAATGCCAATTTCAAACACAAAGATAAGGCCTGTTAACTTGTCTGTGGAATCACTGACATGACGTAGCTCTTATGTGTAGCTCACACATGTATTTTATTCCTAAAAGAACAGTGAGAGCATTGCACAAAACTAACTCAGTTGTTTTCATTTCACTAATTTGTTTTTTTTTTTTTTGAGACAGTGTCTTGCTCTGTCGCCCAGGCTAGAGTGCAGTGGTGTGATTTCTGCTCACTGCAACCTCTGCCTCCAGGATTCAAGTAATTCTCCTGCCTCAGCCTCCCAAGTAGCTGGGATTACAGGTGTGTGCCACCACGCCCAGCTAATTTTTGTATTTTTAGTAGAGACGGGGTTTCACCATGTTGGCCAGGCTGGTCTGGAACTCCTGACCTCAGGTGATCCACCCGCCTCGGCCTCCCAAAGTGCTGGGATTACAGGCATGAGCCACCGTGCCCAGCCTGATTTCACTTTTTGTACACGTTCTGCCCATGCTCTCTGCCTTCCTGATGAGTAAGGAAGAACTGAAAGGAAAAAGAGCAATGGGCCACCCTTTCCAAGTCAGCGTTTTTCAGCCTAAGTGAGAAAAACAGGATAGAGTTTCTTAGTTGTTCCTTGCTTGTTTCCTTGGAGTGCCACTACCTTTTTGCTGCATTCAAACAAAGTTCTGGTTTGAATGGAAAGTATGGCCTTTCAGTGCTGTGTGTTCTGCCAACCACCTGTGCTAGTCAAAATAACATGTTGGTTGGGTGCGGTGGCTCATGCCTGTAATCCCAGCACTTTGGGAGGGAGGCCGAGGCAGGTGGATCACTTGAGGTCAGGAGTTCAAGACTAGCCTGGCCAACATGGTAAAACCCTGTCTCTACTAAAAATACAAAACTAGGTGGGGTGCAGTGGCTCCCACCTGTAATCCCAGCACTTTGGGAGGCCGAGGAGGGTGGATCACAAGGTCAGGAGATCAAGACCATCCTGGCTAACACAGTGAAACCCCATCTCTACTAAAAATACAAAAAATTAGCTGGGCGTGATGGTGGGCACCTATAGTCCCAGCTACTTGGGAGGCTGAGGCAGGAGAATCGCTTGAACCTGGGAGGCGGAGCTTGAAGTGAGCCGAGATCACGCCACTGCACTCCAACCTGGGCGACAGAGTGAGACTCCGTCTGAAATAAATAAATAAGTAAATAAATAAATAAATAAATAATACAAAACTAGCTGGGTGTGGTAGCGGGTGCCTGTAATCCCAGCTACTCAGGAGGGTGAAGCAGGAGAAACACTTGAACCTGGGAATAGGAGGTTGCAGTGAACCAAGATCGTGCCGCTGCACTTCAGCCTGGGCAAAAAGAGCTAAACTCTTAAATAAATAAATAAATAACTTGCTACGGAAGAGTTGACTTTAAGAAACATTTGCAGGACTAAGCAGGTCACACCTCTTTGTAGGTCAGCTGTACTGAGGGCTTAATCCGGATTGCAGAGCACAGTGAATTTGGACTTGGAATCACTCAGGTTGCTGGGTTTCACTCGTAGTTCTGTCATTTACTGTCTCAATAGCAACTTCCTCATCTGGAATATGGGACAGTAACACTTGGTTTCCTGTGATTATGCAAATGAAGCAATATATGTAAATATTTAGCCAGGGTGGGTTTACTGTAAGTGCTTGGCATATGGCTCTGCCTCAAAATATAGGGGATGAACATGCATGGCAGATGTACAAGACACACTTCCCACGCTTGTTTGCATTTTTCTCCCTCTGAGTATTTCCAAAGTGACATGCCAAGTCAAGAAGGCTGCTACCAACCCAAGAAACCGAGGCCAGCACTGGCCTGGAATTATTAGGATGAGCTGAATAAATGCCACATGGCCTGGGAGCAGTCCTCGGACTGGGTTCCGCAGCCACGGGACAGGAGCCAAGGACCACTCAACATTTCCAAAACAAATCGTTGCTCTGTAAACTCACTTTCTAGTCCCAACTAATGGCAGTGGTGAGTGTTATTTTAAAGGAGGTTTTGTTTTTGTTTTTGAGTCAGAGTCTTGCTCTGTCACCCAGGCTGGAGTGCAGTGGCATGATCTCGGCTCACTGTAACCTCCACCTCCTGGGTTCAAGTGATTCTCCTGCCTGAGCCTCCCAAGTAGCTGAGACCGCAGGTGCCCACCACCATGGCTAGCTAATTTTTGTATTTTTAGTAGAGACGAGATTTCACCATGTTGACCAGGCTGATCTCGAACTCCTGACCTCAAGTGATCCACCTGCCTTGGCATCCCAAAGTGATGGGATTACAGGCGCAAGCCACTGCGCCTGGCCTTAAAAGGGTTTTTTACATTATTATTTGTCAAGATTGAAGATCACATATGTCTGGCCGGGTGCAATGGCTCATGCCTATAATCCCAGCACTTTGGCAGGCCAAGGCAGGCAGATCAGTTGAGGTCAGGAGTTTGAGACCAGCCTGGCCAACATGGTGAAACCTTATCTCTATTAAAAATACAAAAAATTAGCCAGAAGTGGTGGGTGCCTGTAATCCCAGCTCCTTGGGAGGCTGAGGCAGGAGAATCGCTTGAACCTGGGAGGTAGAGGTTGCAGCGAGCTGAGATCGTGTCACTGCACTCCAGCCTGGGTAACAAAGCAAGACTCCATCTCAGAAAAAAAATCAAATGTCTAGAGATGTACAATAAACAACATTGCCATTTGCTCTGCTCCCCTCTCTGTCCAGTACTCCTGTCTGGCTCCCCAGGGGCAATCATCCTTTCCAGCTCTTTCAGTGCTTTCTTCTGTATTTTGTTCTGCAGTTATCACATGATTATAGTGGCTTTTTCTTAATGCAACCATTGATCTGTTTTGGAGAAGATAGAATTTAGTTCTCATGCCACTCACCCTCAGTACCAATGACTCCTTCTCCCAACCAGTAGTTAATATTTACAATATTATTATATAGATGTGATAAACTGCAGAACTAAATAGTGCACCAACATTTTCTTTCTTTGTTTTCATCAGTGCTGTCATCTACCTATAAATAATCTTCCCCAGTTGCTTTCAATCACCTGACAACCTTTTGGCTTCTTCCCTCCCCTCTCTCTTCCCCTTCCCTCACGTCCTCTCCCCTTCCTCCCTCTCTCTGTCTCTCTTTCTTTCGTTCACCTTCTGCACTTTCTCCCTCCCTCTCTGCCTCCTTTTTTCTTTCTCTCTCTTTCTTTCATACCCAAGAAAGGATACAGAGAAAATAAAATTTTTGAGTCTATGCATTGAGTCCATGTGTGTGTGAAAATGTATTTTTGCCCCAAGATTGATCAATAGTTTGAAAACCACTGCCTCGGCATAAGGAAAGTATTGCTCCATTGTCTTCTAGAATCTTGTGGATAAGTGACCTGGAGCAGAGACAGGCCCAGCATCCAGTCAGCACTGTCACCAGACATGCAAATGAAGCCACCATAGAGCATCCAGCCAGCATCCTGCCTGACTGGTGGGGTCAGCAGAACAGCCCAGAAAAGTCCACCCCTGATTGCTGACCATGGAGTAACCAAATAAAATGGTGATTGTTTTTAAGACGTTACAAATTTGAGGTTGTTTGTTACACAGCACAAGATAACAGATACAGAATTCAACACTGAAGTGTAGACTGTGTTTTCAGTCTGATATATTTCCTGTAGCTCATCACCCACCCTTTGTCTTTCTTACTGTGGCTCCTTTGGTTAATTCCTTCAGAGAAGAAACTTCCTGTCTCTTGCCTGGCGTGGTGACACAGGTTCACCAGGGTGCATTAGTTAATCATTAGCTTCAGGCCAGGCACAATGACTCAACCTCGCAATCCCAGTGCTTTGGGAGGCTGAGGTGGGACAATCACTTGAGCCCAGGAGTTCAACACCAGCCTGGGCAACAAAGTGAGACCCTGTCACTACAAAAAATTGTCTAGGCCAGGCGCGGTGGCTTGTGCCTGTAATCCCAGCACTTTGGGAGACTGAGGTGGGTGGATCACTTGAGGTCAGGAACTCGAGACCAGCCTGTCCAACATGGTGAAATTCTGTCTCTACTGAAATACAAAAATTAGCTGGGTATGGTGGCGGGCACCTGTAGTCCCTTAGTAGCTACTCAGGAGGCTACTGAGGAGACTGAGGCATAAGAATTGTTTGAACCTGGGAGGCAGAAGTTGTAGTGAGCCAAGAATCGTGCCACTGGGTGACAGAATGAAACTGTGTCTCACAATAACAACAACAATAATAATTTTTAAAAATTAGCCAGGTATGATGGTGTGAGCCTGTAGTCCCAGCTACTTAGAAGGCTGAGGCAAGGGGATCACGAAAGCCCAGGAGTTGGAGGCTGCAGTGGGCTATGATTCGCCACTGCACAGCAGCCTGGGCAACAGAGCAAGACTCTGTCTCTAAAAAAAATTTTTGTTTTTTTTTTTTT